AAGAAAATTAACTCTATCCCAGCCGAAACCAGGACACTAAAAATCCTTGGATAACGCCCTAAATGCTGTCTGAATATTTGATGTATTTTTCATCTATTTCTTCTCATAACAGATCTTCTGGTGATTCTGACTTGTTTGGGTTATGAAATTCTGCTTCCTGTTAATGTTTTAGAGCATAATAAAAATGGAAATGGATACTAGTTTCTGCTAAAAATTACCCTTTTACTCACAAAGCTCATATACAGATTTTATGCTGCAGACAGAGCAGGAGAACAGCTTAGAATATTGCAGCAGAAGTTTTAATAAAATGGGAGAAAGCTGAAAGACTGGGAAATCCTGTCATTGTGAATTACAACAGTGTGAGGAGGAATTTTAGAAGATGTAGAGGAAAAGAAGGAATAAGATGAAATACTGTATGTTGGAGAAAATAGATTGCAAAACAAAGCAGCTGAATAGCATAAAACATTTAAGCCTTTACAAATGTAGTAATATGACATATGATATGGAATAGTTGTTTGTTGTTTTTTTTTTTTTAAATATAAGCTTTTAATCTGAGCTGTACTTAGAGAAGGAAAGCAAGCAGTTCAATGATACACATTCTTGATGAGCTCTGATACATGTATCAATGGACTTTTCCTTTATTAGCAGCTCTGCTTTTCCTCAGGAAGTTTTCCAATCAGCTCTATGGCCTGAGGACAAAGTGTTAAAATGAAGCACATAAAATGATGTCCACAGAAAGATAGTGATGAAAAGCATGGAGCTGAACCAAATCAGCTGGAAAATGCTTTTTAGGCAGAACTGAAACCTTTATTACAATAAACATATGTCTGCCTCTGGTGTTGGAGATAATAGGAAGTTGCATCAGACCTTGGACTGCTAGCCTTCAGGCAATGTTGAAGTAGTAGTCTTTGTACCCTGACAAGAGATTTCTTACATTATGAAAAGACGGATCTGTGGTGATAGATATGCCTCCAGACATAGGTTGTCTGTTTCTCTTTGTAGACACTACAGCACTTGTTTCTTGATCAGCATACTTTAGTTACAGAGATATACCTTGTCTTAATTCTGCTCACCAGGGCTAACAGGCAAATTGGAGGTATGCACAGTGGTATGTGCATTCCAGTTATTTGATCTTGAGAATTTACAGGTGAAGGAATCTCCAGAGCTGCTGGCATCAGTTACTTATAACAAGCTGCTGCTTGGGCAATTGTATGATCCTTTTAGTAAAGTAATACAATCCTATCATAAAAGTAGTTAGATTTTCTTTTTCCATCCCACAATTGCTATTAAACGAGTGCCAGGCTTATGTGATTGTCAGCCTAATTTTGTCTATTTTTCACAGTAATTTCCCTTGGGCTAATACCATCCTTTAACTTTTGCAATCATCTTCTCCTTTTCCTACTGTCTCTCCTTCCCCTGGGTTTGGGGTATCTACAGCACTTAAGGTACATCATTAATATCATCTCCCTATTTTCTTGTGTTGCTAGGCTGAACGAAACAAGGTGATTCAATCTTCTCTCACAAGGTTGGCTTTTTGGACCGGCTGGATCTCTCTCTCCACTCCCCCTCCTCAATTTAAGGATTTTCAACTCATCCATGTAAAAATTTTGTCAGAACTGGTGTGTTTTAGTGAAAACACAGTTGAGAAATTCAAAGCTGAATTTGCATCAAAGGGATTGCAAATCAGTGCATTGACTTCAGTTTCTTGTGCTGATGGAGTCCTTTTTTACGAGGACATTTTAGTAATGCCTGTTTCTGCTGGATGAGCCCTGACTAGCTTACCACGTAATGCACTGTAAATCTATTTACACAATGCAGATACTCTTCTTGACAGCTTAATAAGGAACTGTTGTGTCACCTCTGACTATACACTTTTTCTTCTAAACACACTACTTCAGAACTAGTTGTTATGCAAATTATGGTGGTGGGGTGAGTGGGGATTATATCTATAACTAAATAACCCTGGACAGAGACTGCATATATTGGCAGGGTAATATATTTGCGGCTGGTATTGATGGTAGTTTCCCCTAATGATGGATTCCTGCAATGGGTGGCAAGTTGTTGTTATTATTTTGACAAAATCTGACTGTGCTTGTTTGTATGATCATATTGTTCATAAGAATTCAGATATGGGATCCTAGGTACCTCTAATTTTTTCCTAACCTTGGGAAACACTAGTAGTATCACACAAAATATGGGGGTTTTTTTTAGAAAATACAGGAATCTAGTAATTTGGAAAGTATTCATTAATAGCCAGTCCATTCAAGCATTTATGCAAATTGTGGTTGCAGATATGACTCCACTAACAATGGGGTAGTTTAAAGTAATTAAGTCATTATCTACAGTTGTTGCCCAAGTAAATAATAAATAGATACCATTTTCAACTGTTGGCATCATATGTCTACCGGCTCTGAAAATTCTAATTCTTTCCCTAGATCAGTCACTTAAAATCCCTTTGTTGCAAAATCAACTTTGATTTTCTCAACTGTTTTCTACATTTGATGCACAAACTATTCATAAGCTTTGTAAGCATTTGCAAAGTCCTTCTGAGAAAAGAGAGAACTTTATGATTGTTGGTCACTTAGTAATTCTACTCTGTTGTCCTGTTATTTTATTATATAATATATTTGCAAACTATTGGGCAATAATTCCAATCAGTAAGTTAATTATGTACACTTGACTTGCCTAGCATGCACCAAAATTTTAGTCATAAAACAATGTTATAATTCAGTTAAATATTATCCAAAGACACACCGGGTTGAAAGTCACTGCTTTGCAGAGACCTTATTTCCCTTAAGCCACAGATGCGGAAAGTGAGGTTCTAAAAACATCTTTCAGAGAGATGTGTGTAAACACAGCTTTTTCAAAGACACTTCGTGACCAATACTAGACAGTTAAAGTAATTCTTTTCCAAGTGAAAGTTTGGATAGTAACATAGCCCATGAACAGATTCATATTCTTCTGTGCATTATATTGCTATGCTCTCGTAGATACTCAGTCACCTACAGGAAGTGAGTGCCAACATGGTGATGGCGTCTCTGTTCTATCTGGGGAACTGTGTGTTGTCACCAACCAGCGTGGAGACAGCAGTGATGAGAAACAAGGTAAGTCTCAGCGGGCTTAATCATAAGTGGGATGTGGTTTGATAACTGAATATGGCAGCAGAGGCAACTAGGCGGGGATTATTTGTTATGTTACAAAAGTGTTTGGGAACTCTTTTTTTTTTTCCCCACCCTCTTCTTCATTTGACTTTCTAGCGCAATTTCTTCCTGCTTCAGTTTGATTTTTTTTTTCTGCTTAATTTTCAACCTCTGTACAGTGCAACTCTTTCATAAATCTTCATATGGTTATTATGTAGCAAAGCAAGTGTTTCCTCATCCACATAAATTCAACAGAGATTTAACAAGTATTACTTTTTTCCTTAACTGTGGTAAAATTGTTTGCTGAAATTTGGATTTCATCCAAAACACCTAGATCAAGGTATAAGCGACAACAGCATTTTTTAATTTTTTTTTTCAGTCTAGACAAGGGGGAAAATTTTCTTGAATTCATGAACTGATAATCCTAGCTTAATCTTTGTCACATTCAGAGGCTATGAATACAGTTGCTGCTGTTTCCCTTAAAGGAAAGATCTAAGCAGTGAGAGTGAATTTTAACTGTTAGTGTCTCAGTAAATTTGCATCAGAAATCTACTATTTCCAGAACACTGTAACACAAAATGATGCTGCAAATGGTTTAATACAATGCATACAATAGTTCTGCTCTTTGAGAATCATTGTTCTGGAGTGCAAAGAAGAGCTTGGATTTATCAAAACCTCTGATTTTAACTAAAGCTTATCTAAGTTCTTCCACTCACTGTGCAACAAAGGAAGGTACTATATTTGCTGGGTTTTTAAGGCTTAGCTTTAAATCTAAAGTAGATTGTTGTTAGATGAGCCTGTGTGTTTCTGTGTACACTGAAAAATGCTAATTAAAGCATGTTAGTGGTCATTGAATTCAGCTGAAATCTGTTAGAAAGAGCAGTAACTTAAATCCAGATTCCCCAAATTACAACTGTGTGCCCAGATACATGTTGATTTTCTTCTTCCAGTATGACTCCCTGTTTTATCCAAATACGATGCAGATATCTGTGTGGAACAGGAGTCTGGAATCAACTCTAGGTTACTTGATTTTTGTTCCTCTGCAAATAAGACAATTGTTAAGACTGTATTGGATATCAATACATTTTGTAACTTTATTTTGCTCTTCTAGAATGTATTAAATGCTAATGGCTGGAAATTATGCCTGTTGAATCCCCTGATGTGTAACCAAGACAGCTCAGGCTGGCATTTTTTTTATAATCACTTGCACAAGAGATGGTTATGCTACTTTTCACTGCATAGCCTTGAAATCCTCATTGTGCTTGGTCCTGGTTTCCCTAGAAAGAGCATTTCCTCCAGGCAGCACTTTCTATTATGATGGCAGAATATGCAGCAAGAGATGCATTCTTCCATTAATTTTTATGAAGGCTTTTTACACTTGTTTGTTGAGGGAATACTGATGTAGACAAATGCTTATAGGCAAATAGAGAAATTAAAGGTTGCTTCAAAGGCTAGTTTAGAAAAATGAGCCATGGGCTCTGTGAAAGACCTAAATACTAAATAATGTTGTATTTTAAGTATGGGTGAGCAGGAGGTGTGGAACTAGGCTCTGAGTGACAGGCTGTGGATATTGGGGCTGCTTGGATAATGCTCTGGATCACTCCAGGGGAGAAGTAAGGTGTCGGACATTAAGACACACATCAGGGTGTCAAACTGAAGATTCATCCTGCTGCCACCCACTCTTCTGATTTGGTATTATTGCAAAATTATTTTTCTACTTAGGTTTTAGCTCTCTGTTCTCATGTTTGTGACAGGTCCTTGCTGTTTTCTCTGAGCTCTACTCAGGTTTAAGGATGTTTCTGCACTGAAATTGCATCAAAGTTGGAATTTCAGATGATGTGTTTTTATTGTCATTTTGAACATCATATGTTGTTGGTTTGTGCTTTGCCACAGCATTAGAAAAGGAACCAAATAAACCCGACAGTCATTTTTTTATCTCCAAACTAGCATTGCAAAGTATTCACTAGGGGATGAAAGATAACTAACTACTCTTAAAAATATTTTGCTTCCAGAATATACCACACTGAGATTTTATACACGTAGACACTTGAAATAGAACCTTAAACTGTAGTCTGTTTCTGTGAGACTTGGAATTTTTCCTTAGAGATTACTTTAAATATTTGTTTTGTTCACTGGAAATTCTGCAAAAAAAAAAATATCTAGAACATGTCACACATTTCTGCCTTCTGTCCCTTTCTTCTTTAAGCAGTGACTTTATCTTTGTAAATCTATCTTCCAGCAAATTTACACTGGTTTGCTTTCAAGTTATGTTTTCTGTGAAAATGAATATTGCCTTGGAAAATAATCATGAATGATCAAGGACTTTTGTGGGTGTTGGTTTTTTTTTTTAAATTTAAAAAGGTACTGGTCTTGCTATTTTGTACCTATTGATTTAAAAATGTTTTTTCAGCTATGAGAAAATTCCTGAGAAAATATTGAAAGTAATTTGGTGCATTTCATGTAATATGAAGCAGATATGCCTCAGCAATGTTTGTGCTTTTGAAGAACCACCAACATGCTTTTCAGCCACTTAAAGACCTAAGGAATAAAAGCGGCAATAAGAAGTTGATTGATGAATCAGCCAGTCTGCACATTAACTTGAGTCTGCAATGCTTACGTGAATTATATCTATTTTTCCCCTCTCTCACCTTATAATTAATTGTTGTAGTAAGCTAATGTGAATATGAAAGCCGTGAAATTGGACATCAGAGTGTGACTATAAACGCTGCAGTTGCAACTTTATTTAAAATGATTAGTGAACTGTGATAATATAGAATAGACCAAAAGCATTAGCAGGAGCCTAAAGTGAGCACCAATTTGAGTTGGAGCGTGAAGGCATTGTAGCTCTCATGTCTAACCAGATCCTGATTAGAAGGCAGAGTCTTAACCAATCCTCCTCTGTTGTGTAAGAGACAATGTAGGTGAACTGAAAGTTTCCACACAGTGCATGAAATGTGGAGACAGCCTGTCCTGGTTTTGGCTGGCATAGAATTAATTTTCTTCCCAGTAGCAGGCATAGTGCCGGCCATTCTGCTTGGGGTGAAGTTGCAATAAGCTTTACAGATTCATCTGCTTAGACCATTTTTTTTTTTTTTTAAATCCTTCCACCACTACAATAAGTGATTCAAGGAATGGGGCTGTCCAGCCTGTCAGGTACATGCAAGCTCTTTCATTCAGCTTGGATATGACACAAAGGGCTGTCTGACACCAGAGCAGAAACAAACAGCTGTCCCTCCATCCCAGTAAGCAATTATTTATCTGGTTGCATACCCACCTCAAATTTCCTGAATGAACTGGTACACCAAACTGGGTCCTGTACCAGAAAGACGTGTTCTGTCTCCCTTTTCTAACCTATGCTACCTTACAGAGGAATGTGGAAGGGGGAGAAGCAGTCCTTCCCCACAGGTTGCTATGTGCACTGGAAGAAATAAGGTCAGAGGAAAGGCAAATGAGGAGACTCTGTCATTCTAAGGGCTTGTTTCAGCTTTCCTCTAAACAATGTGGTAACTGCTTTAATGCAGCAGCTTAGTAAAGACAGTGAGCACTGGTAAAATTTGGAGTATGTCAGATGAGAGCCTCACCTTTCTGTTATTAGGCCCTGGAGGGTTTCTAGGAATGGGCTTATACCTGAAGCTCCTGAAAAATGTATGTTGCACAATGGTGAAATAAACAGTAGTGGAATAAAACAGTATTTTTGCTATCTGTCTGTTTCCTGGTGTTAAGTCTTTGTTTTTCTATGCAAGAACCATGGATAATCAGGAGATATATTGAAACTCTTCAGTGGATAGCTGCACTATATTTTAAGAACAACCTCTGTATATAAGCTGTGCTGGCTTGGACGGTTTCCTACATGTATGCAGCTACACAAATACTTATGAAGAAAAAATCGTATGTCATAGTGATATAATATAGATGGACTGGTTTGGTTTGGCAGGGGGGAGGGCTTGGTGGCTTGTTTTGTTCAATGTTCATTCTCTCTTGTCTTTCTTCCACTGCCCTGTTTCTTTTTGTTCATGATTTAAAAATTCTGGTGTTTCTTACTTTCCTTAGGAGGCTGTTCAGCAGGTGATGGTGAGAACATATCCGTTTGCTTCTGTGTTTGAGGTTTTAATTTTTTGTTTGTTTTCTTCATTTAAGGTTCCTCCTGTGAGAACTGTGATTTTGAAACTGATCTGTGCAAAGCTCTTCATGAATTGAATTTACAGTCTGGATGGATAAGAAGAAATGGTCGATCTGGCATGGGACCACCATACTCTGACCACAATGGGAATGACAGTGGTAAGAATCCTTGTGTTCTTTGAAGGAACCATGGACTCTTACAAATTGTGTAGCTCCCTATTTTATTTGCTTAATTCTACTAATTTCTTGATAGTTCAGTTGTATTCTGCCACATGTTTTCTGAGCACTTGTGTCCAGTTTTTAGCTGTTTGTAATTAAAATAACCCAGAATTCCAGAAAAAAAAAGACAATATTCTAGCAAGCAATTCTTGTCATCATGGAGGAATAAATAATCAGTCATCAGGAGTCACGTTTATCTACCTGAGTGACCTTTACGTCTTTTAGACATATTGGGTGATAATTTCAGTCTTGATGGTTGCAAAATTTAGAAATGAATATTGGTCCCCCATTTTGAGACATATTTTCATTTCTCTGGGCATTCATCAATACAAGAAGTGTGTGTATCTATTATCTGTGGCTAATATTACAGCTCCAAATATTTTGTGAGAAGATGACTTTGGATCTGGGGATGGGAAGAGCTTTGATAGCCTGTTTGAGCCAGCTCCTCTCTAAATCTTATTACAATTCCACTTTGCATCAAAGACTGTCCCACAACTAAGTCATTGATTGTCCCTGTCCACAGACAAAATATGTCCCTTACAGTTATCCAATTGCCAAGTGTCCTGGTTTCAGCTGGGATAGAGTTAATTTTCTTCCTAGCAGCAGGCATAGTGCTGTGTTTTGGATTTAGTAGGAGAAGAATGTTGATAACACGCTGATGTTTTTAGTTGTTGCTGAGTACTGCTTGTGCTAGTCAAGGACTTTTTCAGCTTCCCATGCTCTGCCAGGCGCACAAGAAACTGGGAGGGGGCACAGCCAGAATAGTTGATCCAGACTGACCAAAGGGCTATTCCATACCATATGACGTCATGCTCAGTATATAAACTGGGGGGGGTTGGCCAGGGAGCAGTGATCGCTGCTCGGGAACTGTCTGGGTATCGGTCAGCAGGTGGTGAGCAATTGCATTGTGCATCACTTGCTTCGTGTATCATTATTATTATCATTATTATACTGTTACTATTAGCATTACTATTTTACTTTATTTCAATTATTAAACTGTTCTTATCTCAGCCCAGGAGTGTTTCTCACTCTTACTCCTCCGATTCTCTCCCCCATCCCATCGGGGTAGGGGGAGTGAGCGAGCGGCTGCGTGGTGCTGAGTTGCTGGCTGGGGCTGAACGACAACACCAAGTTAACTCTGCTTTCCAAAACCTGGCTTCTTCCTTCTGTAATACGTTATTTTCTTCATACCTTTTTAGCTAACTTGATCCAAAATTTTTAGCTGCAGCAAGCCTTCTCCTGCTTTTCCAAGTTTCTAGAAGGCTTGTTTGTAAGAAAGCAAGTAAGGGGGGAAAGAATTTGATGGAGACTTCTAATCTCACAGTAAAGATATGAGCTGGTTGAAGTAATCGCCCCGAACTGTTTAATTCTCTTCACCATATTTTCCATTATTATCTTTCCTTTTATCTCCACCCACCCTCTCTCACCTCTCCTGTGCACAAGCAGTGCTGCAGCAGCCCTGAGAGCAAGAACCTGAAGGCAGGCATACAGCATTGGAGAGTGAACAGCAATATAACCTTATGTGGGACTAAAGCCTTGTTGTGAGACTGATTAGCCTGGGTGTTTTTCACCTCGTTCCAAACTGTGATTATCTTGGAGTGTGGAAATCTGTGCTGTTCTGAAGCAAGCAGCACCTCCTACACATTATGTAAGCCACCAAACAAGTAGAAGTTCCATATAATGATTAATGTGAATTAGTGGTTTAAAGGTGAGCACATGGAAAACTTGCTTAGAAATCAGCAAAATGGAAATGGCACAAAACTTCATAAAATCTTCATTAAAATAAACAAAAAAACCCCTTCTACTTTTTCTTGCAAGTTCTCATTCCACAGCTGACAATTTTCATGATGCTCTGTAATTAGGAAACTTTATCCATGTGATGTGCTTCTAACAACTTCATATTTTGTCTGTGTGTAGCATACAAGCACATCCTGCTGTGTCTACTATGGTCCTGAAAAGAAGGCTGTTCTTAAATAAATTTTGATGTTAACACAAAAATTTGAGTAACTATCAAACCTTTTTCATAAACAAGTTTGATTTCAAGTATATAAGTTGTGAAACACTTTATCTTTAAAATAATAACAGCTCTTCTCATCAAGAAGCAGATAAAAGACAAATACTATGGAATAAAAATATAGCTAACTTGGCTAGAATGAGAATTAATTAACCAGGCAACAGTCTTGCTCTAGTTGAAGTTTCTAGGGTTTGTGCTTGATTGGTAGTATACACCACATCAGGATGTAGCAAAGACCTGAAATAGATTCTTGCTTATAAGCAGTAAAAAAGTTACCCTTATCTTGTGAAAAACCATGGCGAGGGGAAAACTTGACTTATGCAGACACCCAAAGCCAGCAAAAGATTGAGAATCATCAAATTCAAGTGCTTGTTGCAGAGGAAGCACACTGTTCAGTCACCTGTATATTCCCATTGACTTGTTTTGGGTGCTTAGTCACCTTTGTATCTGCCAGGTCTGAATTGTGCGGTAGCCGTATTAAACTAAGTTATTTTGATCAGATAACAGAAAGCTTGAATACCTGTACTTATTCAGCTTTCTGAGAGGCTGTGTACTCAGATCTGTGAACTGAATGGCTGAGGAGATTTAAATGTATTTGGTTATTTCAGTTTTCTACCTGGAGAATGGCTAAACTGTACTTTCATTTTCTGAATGCTGGTTCTAATTGCCTGCGAAATATTTATCTCCTTATGGCAGCTATTCAAGTTTTCCCACTGCTGGTGACTCAACAGACTGTGTAATCAGCTTTATGTTGGTTCCTGCCTAAAGACCAGAATTTATATTGTATGGTGACAATTGAGCAGAGCATGCTCTATGGCAGAGTATTAAAGGGAAGAGTTCCTGCCATCAGGATAAGTAATTGCACACACATTAGTAGAAGAGCAAAGATCACTTGGTGGATGTAACTCCTTTGAAGATTTATATAATCATTTACTAGAACCCAACATGTTTTTTTAGCTCTGTCTGTTCTCATGGTTCTTATTTTCACTGAAAATGTAGTTGAACAGAGTAGTGACAACCACTTTAAAAAAAACCCACAAAACAAAATACAACCTGTTTTTACTAATCGAAACCTGTTATCTATGCAGAGGTTTAATCTAAAATCACTGTTCAAAGAATTTCTTAAAATTACTATTTCTGCCCCATCTGTTTAAGACTTAAAACTCCTGTGACGGGTGAAATCTGACCTTGTTTATGAGTCTTAGATACATTTATCTTTAGGGAACTAAAAGAAAAAAGTTCAAAATTTTATGGAAGTTAAACCAATGAAACAGATTGGAATCAGGGATAGGACTCTGCTGAGGCACCAAGCCATCTGTTGTGGGTAGGAAGAATATCCTTACAGCTGGCAGGCTCTGAAAGTGCTGCCTGACCAGTCATGAAAGGCCTAAAACCTAGAGGGAGGATGACCACTGCTCTGGTAGCAGGCTGCAAAATGCTTCTCTGTGGGGGACTGCTCAGCTGGCTCCAGCACTGAGCTAGTCTTATGGTCCTTTGTCAGTGACTCCAGTTGCAGGCAAAGATGAGAAGTCAAGGTGGGCAGGTTAATAAAGAAGTATTTAGATGTTCCTATATATCATCTGCTATTTGGTTTCTGTAGTAATTTTTATTTTTAGGACTTTTTTTTTTTTATTCCTTCAGTCCCACTTGTCTTTTTTCTCCTTCATCTCTCTTTCCTTTCATTTATGTGTTAATATCAGAGGGCAACTGTTTACCTGACATTGCTTCGAGTTTGGGAAGGAGAGAAGGGAAAGGAATCAAAAAGAAATAAAAGTAGGTTGAGTTCCCCTCCCCTCCCACCTCCCCTCACGTCCTTTAACATCTAACACTTCTGAAATCTTCACGTTTGGGAAGAGTCAAATTTTGACTAGCGTTATTTAATATCCTAAAATAGGGTGGTCTGAAACACTACTGTCAAGAAGACACATAATCAGTCAAAAGGCATAGCAACAACCATATTTCACTGACTCTTGTTGAGCTGTTACGCTTTCAAGTAAAGCAATGTTTTAATTTGGACTTGTTTTGTAAATGGGAAGATAATGGTATCTTTAATGGTAGCGCGGAGATTCTGAAGACAACCCCTTATGTTGAGAGCGTGTGCAGGTATACCATAACTTCCTCTCTGCAGTGAGGCAGTTTTCTGAGCAGCCAAAAACCAGATCTATATCCTGTGGAACAGAGGAACACCATAGCCTCCTCTCCCATCTTCCACCACCTCCTTAAAGACTTGAACTGTTGTAATAAATCTGTATTGTTGGTCACAACAGTTTGTTGTTTAGGCATGAAATATGTGATCTATTCAATAATTGGAGTTTAAGCTCTTAGACTAACTCAGCAAGCTGATCATACTTTGTCCCAAAATTTTGCACTTACTAATTCAGTATTCAAGCCATCAGCACATGAAACATTTTGGAACT